CTATACAATCCCTACTATCCTACTTCCTATAAAGCACTTCGCCTGTTATCTGTCTGTCGTCTGTCTGTCGTTCTGTATGTCTGTCACGAAATTCCCTAGCTCCTCGGGATCCGCCTGGAGGGACCGGGTCAAGTGTGGGATGGGTGGGCAAGGTCTCACGAAGTACAAAACACACATCAGCTAAGCGGAGCCCCGCCCACAGAGGGCGTGGCGTGCGTCGAAATGAACTGTACCGAAGACCAAGATTTCGATTTCAGTGACAAAACAACCTCGAAACTGGGCCAAAAAGTGGGTAAAGGTGTGCATTGGTAAGTCAACTCCAACTCGAAAGTGAAGTCGTTTTCTTTCTCCGCTGGGTTTTGGCAAAGGAGCATCAAGAAATTTTCTGAGCGTTGGAGACAAGTGGTGGACACTCATGGTAGATATAAGACCGGTCAGGAGTTGTAACCAAAAAAGATAAAATTAAAATCAAAAATTTGGAAAGTGTCTGTTGGGGAATGATAGTAGTGTATACAATAATATGTTTATCATTGTGTATAAAAGGGTCACTCTCTGAGTATGGTTCAATTATTCGTCTGTGGTTCAATAAACGACTGGATTGGCTGCCTGTAAGGATACAACAAGTGGCGATCAGGACCAGCACCAAGGATCTACAGGACTCAAGACAACAGCCGCTCAAGACTTCAGAGCAACTCGTATGCAATATGCCGAAGTCATCTGGAGATGGAACAGCTTCTGCTCATCCTGCACAGCTCGAGGTAGTACTTCAAACTATGCTTCAACAGTTGCAATTTCAGCATGAAGAAATGAAAATGCTGTTCGCCTCGTTAGCGCCTACCAAGGATGGCATGGTGGATAACCAGAAGCTGCTATATGACCAATTGAACAAGGACGTAGAAAAGTTCGTATATGATGAGGAATCTGGATATACATTTGACTACTGGTACAGAAGGTATGGACATATTATTGAAGCATCAAGTATTCCAGAAGATAAAAAGAGAGATTTTATCTTGCTGAAAGCTTGAAGACAACGCTACCGTAAGTATGCAGATGATGTTCTACCTTTACAACCGCACGAGATCGATTTTGCAACAACAGTGAGGAAACCTTCAAAAGTTATTTGCATCCAAGAAAACGTTGATCCGCCGCCGGATACGAGTGTTTGAGGATAACATGCCCAGCACTTACTTCGGATTACGTACCATTCCGAGATTACGCGAACACGATCAAAAGGATGGATGAAGAAGCTTCACTGAAGGAAATGGATTACACAGCACTGAAGACACTGCAGTTTGTGGCAGGACTTCAGGATCCTTCCTACGAGAAGTACGTCTCAGAATGCTTCGTCGACTCGATACGCAAGCAGAAGACGCGCCATTGACGATTGAAGATCTCGTTGCAGAATGCGAAAATTTCACAGCTCTGAAGATGGATAACGCAAATATGGGAACAAGCCACGATGTTCATGCCGTGCAGAAAAAGAAAGTGAAATGTTTCAAATGTGGAGGCCCACATTACAGGAATGTTTGTCCACTTCTCGCCAACCAACCAAAGATGTCCGACCAGATCCCAAAGAAACCAAGAAGGCAGCATTATCGTCGTAAGAGGAACCAGTGCAAAAACATTGCAACTTTTGCCGCAGAGAATGCAAGGACATACATCAATGTTGATGTCCGAGGGCATTCGCTACGCTTCCAGCTTGACACTGGGGCGGATATTACCCTGATATCTCGCCGAACATGGAAAAAGCTTGGATCCCCATTCCTGGAATCCTGCACAATACCAGTCAAGACGGCAGATGGATCACCGATGAAAATCGATGGAAGATTTTCCACAGGCTTCTCCGTGAAGGACCGCACTACTGGAAATCAGTACCGAGGAAATGGTTATTGCTACGTTACTGGAATGGTGTGCAACTCCCTCGCGTACAAGGAGTTACAAGAGAAGTACCACTGCCGAATGGTGAGCGAAGCGGATACTATCAGAAGTTCCTTAGTTGGCGACCTGAAGAAGCAGTACGCAGAAATTTTCAAATGCGAGCTGGGTCGATGCAAGAAAAGGAAAGCGAAGTTATTTTTGAAAGAAGACGCAGTACCTGTTTTCAAGAAGAAGCGACCAGTCCCTTATGCCTCTATTCCTGAATTAGATGCAGAAATTGGTTAGTTTCCTGATGGAGTGATCTCACCAGTCGATCATTCGGAATGGGCCGCACCCATCGTTGCAGTCAAGAAGAATGGACAGATCCGTTTGTGTGCCGACTTCTCGACAGGATTAAACGATGCTCTACAGTTGCATCAACACCCACTGCCCACTGCGGAAGAGGTGTTCACAAGACTAAATGGAGGACAAATTTTCTCTCAAATCGACTTGGCAGACGCGTATCTGCAGGTGGAAGTCGAGGAAGAATCGAAGGAGATGTTGACGATAAACACACACAAGGGACTTTACCGTTACAATCGTCTACCCTTCGGAGTGAAATCAGCACCTGGCATTTTTCAACAAATTATGGATTCGATGATTTGTGGACTACAAGGCATCATACGACATCATAGTCACAGGCCGCACATATGCAGAGCATCGCCAGAACTTGGAAGCACTCCTTGACAGAATAGCTGAATATGGCTTTCATGTCCGCTTGGAGAAATGCAGTTTTCTCATGCCGAGGATTCGCTACCTTGGATTTATCATCGACAAAGACGGACGACGTCCTGATCCAGAGAAAATTGAGGCCATTCGCCAGATGCCAGTACCGCGAAACATCGCAGAAGTTCGTTCGTTCCTTGGAATGATCAGTTACTATGGATCATTTGTGGCCGAGATGCGCAAAATACGCGCCCCGCTCGATGACCTACTAAAGAAGAATACTACTTTTCGCTGGACGAACAAATGTGAGGAAGCTTTTCGAAGTACTCGCATCGGATCTACTTCTGACACATTTCGACCCCAGCCTGGAAATAATAGTCGCTGCTGATGCATCGGACTATGGCATTGGAGCCGTAATTCTTCACAGGATGCCGAATGGTACAGAAAAAGCCATTTGCCACGCCAGTAGAAGTCTCACCGCCGCGGAACGGAACTATAGCCAAATCGAAAAAGAAGGACTCGCCTTGATATTTGCTGTTCGAAAGTTCCATCGCTACATATATGGACGTCGATTCAAATTGCTGACAGATCACAAGCCGCTGCTGCACATTTTTGGATCCATGAAAGCAATACCGACCTATACGGCAAATCGACTCCAACGATGGAAACTTATACTTATGGGATACGACTTCAATCTTGAGTATCGAAGCACGACTGAATTTGGACAAGCAGATGCACTATCAAGACTCATTCCCTCACGTCCAAACCAAACAGAAGATATTGTGATAGCCAAAATAGAGCAAGATATCCTCGCCGTCTACGAAGCTTCCATTAAAGCACTACCGGTGACCAGAACTTTCGATCCAGGAAGAGTCTAGGAAAGACTCAGAGATATCGAAGATCACCAGAATTGCTCAGACAAGGATCATGGCCAGCCAAGCCTGAAGAGAACATGCGTGATTGGAAAGCTCTACGACATGCACTGTCTACGCAAGACGGATGCCTATATTTTGGTCACAGAATTGTCATTCCAAAGTCTCTACGTGGAACATTACTAAAGCAGAACTACACAAGGGACATCCGGGAATGACACGAATGAAAATGCTCCGCCAGAGGATATGTCTATTGGATGAACATCAATCGAGACATTGAAGAAAACGTGCGCCACTGCTGCTACTGTCAAGAAACAGCAAAAATGCCAAGGAAAACAGTTCTCAACTCGTGGCCTAACGAGAAGAAACCTTGGAATAGAGTTCACATCGACTATGCCGACCCATCAACGGAAAGATGTACCTTGTGGTTGTCGATTCATACTCGAAGTGGCCTGAAGTTTCCGAGATGTCATCGTCTACAACGAAAGCAACTTTGAAAGAGCTCAAGATGTTGTTCGCACGATTCGGGAAATCCAAGAGTTATCGTGTCACACAAATGGAACACAATTCACATCAAGAGAGTTCAAAGAATTTTGCGACGAGGAAGGCATAGAACACATCCGTTCACCGCCCTTTCATCCATAATCGAATGGACAAGCGGAGCGTTTCCGTCGATACTCTGAAGAGATCGTTGTTGAAGCTGAAGGAGGGAGAGAAGTCGGATCCCCTTTCAGAATTGAAGTATTATCGAAGAACGCCGTGCACGTCAACTCCTCTCCTGGACAGCTTTCACACAGCAGAATTGTTTCTCGGACGTCAGATAAGGACTACCTTGACGTTACTGAAGGAAACAACCGAAGGTGAAAAGGACCAAGAAATGCAAAAATGGAAAAGCAATTCAACCGTCATCACGGAGCACGAGAAAGATTCGTACAAGATTGGAGAACCAGTTTGGATTTAAGACCATCGTCCAGGACACAAGCGATGGATCCTGGCACATGTGAAGAGTCGCTTCAGACGAGTTCTGTACGACGTTCTGACGGAAGAAGGTTAGCTGTGGAGAAGACATGCGAATCAGATGCGAACCACACCAAAAGAAAGTAGCACTGATGAAGAATTGGAGACACTCGATGAACACACCGACGATCGCCCACAAAGATCGGGAGAAGCTCAGCATAATGAGGAAGCGGAGATTACAGTCGATTCTGGAAACGATACTTTGGATCGGACTAAATCGACGTCTTCACCTTAAACAACGGACAGATGGAACCACCGCCCGCGTGCACCCAACCGTCTTCAAGTGAATTCAAAATCCTTCTATTTTATAAAGCGCTAACTTTGTGTGTCGGTTTGTATGTCTGTATGTGTGTATGTATGTATGTATGTGTGTCCGTCCGCAAAATGAAGTGGTAGGGAAACTCGTGAAGTAAACAGACCGTTAACAAAATCGAGTAACTATGACTTTAGCAATCAATGTTTTGCAGTGCTATCAATGTGATAACACCCCAACGGCTATATAAACACCTACTGAGCATGGTCTCATTCATTCCACATGATGCTGCAATAGCAGCTGGAGAGCAGTAGAGGGAATAGGATAAGATGGAGAAGGGCGAGGGGAGCTAACCGCCAAAAGACCTGAGGTCCAATTAATATCATTCTAAGGTCATGTCACGATTACGGTAATGCCTTCTACTATATAAGACACTTTTTTGTGCATGCGTGCCACCTCCACGAGGTGTCCATGTCACCAGTGGATGGGAGCACATTGGAAGGAGTAAAGCTTACGCAGGTAAGGAGGTCCCGGTGGTTGCCGGGGGACCAATCTGGTAGTACAATATTTGATTCCGAGACCAATCGGGAGGTGTTGGGAATGAAATACTACAGTACTCGCCGTTTGAAATCGAAAATTCACGCGAATAACGCGAATCCTCGTTAATTTCGTGAATTCGTTATAACTCGGTTCAAAATTGAGATTTTCAAAATCTGAAAAAAGCGTTGAACTCAGCTCGTCGAGTTCTATAAGAATATGCTTTTAAACTTTTGGAAAGCCCTACTTCAGATTGCGCCATGCACTCGAGCTTTGGCTCGAGAAAAAACTGTTTGAATGTGGTGCGCATATAATCCCGCTTATGCATCATGATCGTTCTTCAGAGAGATGGGTCTCAGCAGTTGCCCCAGAACGCGCCGCGTATTCAACATCGTCCATTGTATTGTGAATGGATCGATTGCTTTTTTCCAGATTTCATGGTCCCTATTCCATAGCGGCGCGTTAAATGACTCAACATGTACATGACTGCGCTCAACATCTCCTCCTCTCGTGTTCAAATGGAAATCATAGATCATTTTTCAGCAGGACAGTTAGCCTATTTGGTGAAATTTTCCAATGTTTGAGCGAAGGTTTTTCCGAAATCTGAGGAGGTAGCGGGGAAATCTCTTCACTGTTGTAGAGTACGCTTACTTGTGTGTAGAAATAAGATGATATACTTGCTTGTAGACGAGCGCTTCCGCCGTGCTGTGGCTGTGAAAATGCCTCCTCGTCATGCCCTTTGTGGAAAGATCAGATTTTTTGCATTTCCAGATGAACTCGCAGACCTGAAATGTGCCCCGTTAGATTCCCCGTGAAAAATGCTATCGAATGATATGCATTACTTCCCCAGTTGAAACTTTGGTTTTTCACCGTTTTCAGCCTTCCCCTATTGCCGGATTGGGCATCCCACGATTACTGCCCCAAAATCTCAAAGTTTCATTTTTCGTCGAAACTTTGCCTATTGGGGTAATTCGATGCCCTGATTACGAATATGACATTCATTTTTGATGCTGGTGTCATTTGGCGCCAATTGGCGCCAAAGACGATTTCGCGTTTTTTTTTTTCGTTTTTTCGTTATAAATCGGTTTAAAATTAAGATTTTCAAAATCTGAAAACAGCCTTGAACTCAGCTCGTCGAGATCTATATGAAACGAAGTTATGCGGCTGACCGCCACACACAAAGAAGGGCCTCAAAACTTACCCCAGAATGCGCCACGTACTCAATCTCATCCACTACATTGTGAGATTAGATGAATGTTATTTTCCGAATTCTTAGATCTTCATTTCGTTTTTAAGCGCTTACTGGCTTTACGTGTTCCCTCTGCTCTCAATATCCCATCCTCTGTATATCAAGTGGAATCTTTGAACAGTTCTCAGCAGGCATAGTGGGCCTATTATGTGACATTTTCCATTTTTAGGACATGTTTTGCAGAAATGATCAGATTTTTTTTGGTTTTCCAGATGAACATAGAAGACTGAGATGTGCACCATTCGATTCCCCATAAAAAATGCTGTCGAACGGTATACAACTCACTTCGTGGAGAACACCTAGTTTACCTGCCACTTGATCCATTTTGATCCATTTTGTGACATTTCCCAAGTTTTCGAAGGGATGTTTTGAGGAAATTCGAGAAGGGAGGGACGAACTCTCTTCCCTATCGTAGAGTAAGTTTACTTGTATGTTGGAAAAAGATGATATACTCGGGCTTGAGCGAGTGTTTCTTCCCTGGTGTGGCCTCAAAACATCGCTCTCCGTCATGCCCTGAAATAAAAACCAGATTTTTTGGTCTTCCAGGTGGCTCTACGGAGCTGTGGTGTACACCATTCGATTCTCCATGCAAAATGCTATCGAACGATATACATCTCAGTTCCCACTTGAAACTTTCGTTTTTCATCGCCTTTTCCTTACCGATCGCCTTCCTCAGCCACCCACGTGCTATTCACGTGCGCGGGTGCGTGAGAGCTCACGTGACAGCCGATGGCCTTTCTCGGTAGCTGGCGGGCAGCCCGATCGATACACCGCTATGCGTGTCGAAAGTGCGTGGGAAAGTCACCACGCACCGCGCACGTGAATAGCACGTGGGTGGCCAGGGCTGAGGAAGGCGATCGGCGATAAGGAAAAGGCCGAAAACGGTGAAAAACGAAAGTTTCAAGTGGGAACTGAGATGTATATCGTTCGATAGCATTTTGCATGGAGAATCGAATGGTGTACACCACAGCTCCGTAGAGCCACCTGGAAGACCAAAAAATCTGGTTTTTATTTCAGGGCATGACGGAGAGCGATGATAGGAAGAGAGTTCGTCCCTCCCTTCTCGAATTTCCTCAAAACTTCCCTTCGAAAACTGGGAAATGTCACAAAATGGATCAAGTGGCAGGTAAACTAGGTGTTCTCCACGAAGTGAGTTGTATACCGTTCGACAGCATTTTTATGGGGAATCGAATGGTGCACATCTCAGTCTTCTATGTTCATCTGGAAACCAAAAAAAATCTGATCATTTCACAAAAAAAAACAAAATGGAAAATGTCACATAATAGGCCCACTATGCCTGCTGAGAACTGTTCAAAGATTCCACTTGAAATACAGAGGATGGGATATTGAGAGCAGAGGGAACACGTAAAGCCAGTAAGCGCTTAAAAACGAAATGAAAATCTAAGAATTCGGAAAATAACATTCATCTAATCTCACAATGTAGTGGATTAGATTGAGTACGTGGCGCATCCTGGGGTATGTTTTGAGACCCTTCTTTCTGTGTGGCGGTCAGCTCGCATAAGCGGGATTAGATACACACCACATGCGAGCAACTACTTTTTGAGATGAAAATTGAGTGCATAAGTTTGCGCTTAGAAAACTTTAGGACGGATTCTTATAGATCTCGACGAGCTGAGTTCAAGGCTGTTTTCAGATTTTGAAAATCTTAATTTTAAACCGATTTATAACGAAAAAACGAAAAAAACGCGAAATCGTCTTTGGCGCCAATTGGCGCCAAATGACACCAGCATCAAAAATGAATGTCATATTCGTAATCAGGGCATCGAATTACCCCAATAGGCAAAGTTTCGACGAAAAATGAAACTGTGAGATTTTGGGGCAGTAACAGTGGAACAGTGAGTGCCCAATCGGCAATAGGGGAAGGCTGAAAACGGTGAAAAACCAAAGTTTCAACTGGGAGGAGTAATGCATATCATTCGATAGCATTTTTAAGACGGGAATATCAGTCGACGGAGACAATTTCAGTTCTGCGAGCTCATCTGGAAATGCAAAAAAAATCTGATCTTTTCACAAGGGCATGACGAGGAGGCATGTTCACAGCCACAGCACGGCGGAAGCGCTCGGTCTACAAGCAAGCGTATCATCTCATTTCTACACACAAGTAAGCGTGCTCTACAACAGTGAAGAGATTTCCCCGCTACCTCCTCAGATTTCGGAAAAACCTTCGCTCAAACATTGGAAAATTTCACCAAATAGGCTAGGGCATGACGAGGAGGCATGTTCATGGCCACAGCACGCAGGGAGCGGTCATCTGCAAGCAAGTGTGTGATCTTATTCCTACACACAAGTAAGCGTACTCTACAACTGTGAAAGAAATTTCCCCGCTACCTCCTCAGATTTCGGAAAAACCTTCGCTCAAACATTGGAAAATTTCACCAAATAGGCTAACTGTCCTGCTGAAAAATGATCTATGATTTCCATTTGAACACGAGAGGAGGAGTTGTTGAGCGCAGTCATGTACATTTTGAGTCATTTAACGCGCCGCTATGGAATAGGGACCATGAAATCTGAAAAAAAGCAATCGATCCTTTCACAATACAATGAACCATGTTGAATACGCGGCGCGTTCTGGAGCAACTACTGAGACCCATCTCTCTGAAGAAAGATCATGATGCATAAGCGGGATTATATGCGCACCACATTCAAACAATTTTTTCTCGAGCCAAAGCTCGAGTGCATGGCGCAATCTGAAGTAGGGCTTTTTAAAAGTTTAAAAGCATATTCTTATAGAACTCGACGAGCTGAGTTCAACGCTTTTTCAGATTTTGAAAATCTCAATTTTGAACC